ACTACAGACATTTCTTAAAAAATTCAAAATTTTTTCAAAAAGAAACCCATTAACCGATCATCGCAAAAATCAATACCACCCTTCCTTTAGTGATTCTCGACGTTTTAATAAAAAAAAATAGCCCAATATCTCAAAATTTACGGAAGTTAGATCGGTCACAGACATTTCTCAAAAAATTCAAAATTTTTTTAAAAAGAAACCCGTTTACCGATCATCGCAAAAATCAATACCAACCTTCCTTTAGTGATTCTCGACGTTTGAAAAAAAAAATTAGCCCGATATCTCAAAATTTACGGAAGTTAGAGCAGTCACGGACATTCGAATATGCGTACATACACACATACACACACACACACACACACACACACACACACACATACAGACATTTTGTAAAAATATTATTTTTAGACATTTCAAAACATTTTAAACATATTCCCAAAGAAAACTGGAAAAACATTTTTTTCACGAAAACAAAGCTTCCTCTATGAGGAAGCAAAAATACACATCAGATTAGGAACATCAAAGTAAATTTTTTTATATTTTTGAAAATGCTATCATGTGACACCGTCTACCCTCCTGCAATGCATTCTTAGACTACTTTTAGCTTTACCCAGGAACAACGACGTGGACGTAGTAGTAATTTGTTCCCTTCGGGGTGCTTGATTACTGTGAGTCCCCTTGCCTCTCACTATCCCGGGGTGCTTGATTACTGTGAGTCCCCTTGCCTCTCACTATCTCGGGGTGCTTGATTACTGTGAGTCCCCTCACAGTAAATTAATTTACAGGACGGGGAAAATGGGGGGAGGGAGGAGATTGAATGCTAAATATAGCATCAGAAAAATGCGAATTGCATTTGAAAAATAATCATCGAATCGAATACGTGAATCTGCTGACGACAATATTTCCACGTACATGATAAACTGCGTTATGTCCGGAAAAGAAATCGGCGCGTAGTACTAATGTGGAAAGAAACGGTATATAGATTCACGATTTTCAAAAAAAAAGATTTAAGATTCACAAGTTGGGCTACCTACATCTTGCCTTGTGACCCACATTGGCGTGTTACCATATATTGTTTCGTTTTCGATAGGGGTCTTACTTGAAAGTTACTTGTTATTATGATTATAATTTCATATTTTGGCAGCTATATAAGTTTTATGTTAAATTGTGAAATTTACATATAATCGGGTAATATGTACTAATATGAAAACGCGATCTGAATGTATTGATATTATAAAGATATCAAAGAGTCGTGAAACATTTCGACCCACTTCAGGTCTTTTTCAGTGGCAAATATTACCATTTTGACACAGATATATTGTTACGGATCCCTAAAACCCGCATATACTTAGTTTGGTACAATAATATTCAATATCTTACAATTTCCATATTTCTGATAACCATTTTGATTCCACCATTTTAAATCAAAGGTCTAATTTAAAAAAAGGACACGATACGATTGTAGAGCAATTTATAACGAGTAAATTAAAAAAAAGCATTAAAATCGATTGAAAATTACACCGTCCAGCGATTTTTGTCCAAAAAGTGTGCCTTTTTTCCCACTGTGCGTCGCCGCGATGCCGATTTTCTTATGCTTATTATCGATTTAACAGGTCCTCCTTCTTGAGATTGTGTCTTGCGTTTTTGCATGTGGTTCTTTCTTTGCGAACTTCGGAATTTCTAAATCGTATCGAAATATAGTGGTGTCTAGGATAGATAGAAGGGCGAAGGAGAAAGTCGAGCTACCACGAGGGTGAGCCGAGATTATAATAATAATAACTTTATTTACGGGTAGGGAACCCTTTAGCATACAATGAACGTAGCAGTAAGAAAATAATCTGACAATTAGACAATTTATAAATATGTTTTAACAATTGCATCACGAGATCATTATAGTGTTGACGAAGTATCATTTTCAGACAGAAAGCGCAATCGAGATCGTGATCAAGGATAGTTTGAATGTAAGAGAGCGATAGTAAGATCATGTCTAAAAGACTGTACAGATCTATTAAAAAAATTTACAAGATTCGAGTATTTATTTGCAGAAATCTTTAGTCTATTCAGGCATGAGTTTAGTCCATATAGTGTTCGGTGATATTCGTTATGGAAAACATTGTGTTTCCTTAGAGCCCTGGTTGGTACGCATAAATTTATTTTATTTAGTAAGTCCGGGCAGTTGTTAATGCAATGGAGTATCTTAAAGAAGAAGGTTAGGTCATGAATTTTCCTTCTGTCCTCTAGAGATAGCAGATGTAGGTTACTTAAAATGGGGCAATAGTCATGACAGGTGATATCCATGGGGTTGCCCATACGGTAAGCAACCATACGTAAAAACTTATGCTGGACTCGCTCAATTAGATTACAGTGGCTCTTATAGTATGGAGACCAGACAACAGAGCAGTACTCCAACTTAGAGCGTACTAGGGCGCAGTATAATAGTTTAAGAGTGGCGACATTTTTAAAGTACTTTCCCCAACGGAGAATGAAGCCAAGCGCTCTATTAGCAGACGAAACCATCATTCGAATATGACTGTTGAATGTGAGATCGGCACTGAATAAGATACCGAGATCTCGAGCCTCACGCAGAGCTAATAGAGGTGAGTCGTTGAGAAAATAGTCATATATGATGGGATTCGGTCGGAGTGTAAAATGGATAACAAAACATTTTGTCACATTTAGATAAAGACGGTTCCTCACACACCAGAGCTCGAGTCTAGATAGGTCATGTTGTATTAAAAGCGCATCTGCAGGTCCATCTATTCGTCGAAACAGTTTAAGGTCATCGGCATATAATAAAAAGTTAGAGAAATTAATATAAGCAGTTATGTCATTAATAAATAAAATAAATAAAAGAGGACCAAGATGTGAGCCCTGTGGTACTCCAGAGGACACAGATATGTATTTGGAAAAGCAGTTTTTATATTTAACAACCTGAGCTCTGTCATTGAGGAAGCTAGAAATCCAGCGCAGTAAGGAACCTCCGAATCCTAGAACTTGGAGTTTACATATTAAAATACTGTGGTCAACTTTGTCAAATGCTTTGCTAAAATCCGTGTAAATAGAGTCAACCTGGGCTCCATTCTCAATTTCAGATGTTAAGTAATCATAGTAGCTCACGAGATTCGTTGTAGTTGAGCGTCCAGGAACGAATCCATGTTGTTCCTTTATGATAATGTTTTTACAGAGCATGCCAAGCTTCCGCGCTACAATGCTCTCAAAAATCTGTGGCATTACATTTTGTTTACTTATTGGACGATAATTACAGATTAGTTGGCGGTCACCACCCTTAAAAATCGGAGATACCACACATTGTTTCCAGCATTGAGGAAACGTACCGCTTGACAGAGATTTATTAAAAATCAGCCAGAGAAATCTCGACGCAATAAAAATACAAGATTTCAGAAACACTGGGGGAATACCATCTAAACCGGCAGAACATCCCGACGATAACCCTTTAATTTCATTAAAAACATCCAAAATAGAGATGTCTAGAGTGGAGAGGTCCGAAATGAAGTCTGAATTAAGCTTGAAATTGCTCTCTAGATTCGGATCAGAGTTAGTGTTGCCGGTGTAGACGGACTCAAAATAGTCAGCAAAGCAGTTCGCAATTGTTTCATTATCAACAAGAAGCTGGTCATTGTGTAAAATGTGAGAGGCATGAGGTGTAGAAACTCCGATGTCCCGAACGAATTTCCAGAAAACTTTTGGATTATTTTGCAGGGATCCTTCTGCCTTGCTAATAAAATTGAGCCAGCAAGTAGAAGATAGGGATTTACATGTGGCTCTAAGATGTGAGAAAGTCATATAATCCGCGTACGCATACGATCGTTTGTAAATCAGATGTGCAGATTTCTTGGCCTTTATAAGCGTAATTAATTCTTTCGAAAACCAAGTAGGATAAGTTGACTTAACAATGAGTTTAGAAGGAACATATGCTGCAATAGCTGTGTTTAAATGTTGATAGAGGAAGTTTGTCGCCTCTTCAACTGACATACTTTCTAGGTACATATCCCATTTGATTTGATTAAAATAATCATTTATTGCAGAGTAGTCTGCCTGTTCAAAACACAAACGATGAAATGAGTCCGAGAGAGAGTGCGACACCGAGAGAGAGGAAAGAACAATCTCAAGGGCTGGATGATATACATCACAAGAAATGAGAGGCTCATGAGCGGCATGCACGCAAATATCGTTAAAGGATGAGAAAACAAGATCAAGCTCACAGTCAAATGTGTTACGTATAGAATTAAATTGCCGAAAATTGCAGAGATTAAAGTAGTCGGAAATTAAATCGGCTTGTTTTATGTGTGAGCTGCCTGTGGTATGGTATGCTAATGAGTTTCCATGATACCAGGAAATATTTGGCAGATTAAAATCACCAACAACGATAAATTTGCTCTTTGGATAAGCGCATCGGGCATCAAGGACAGCACGACAGTGTAACTCATAAGCGTCTAAAGACGAGCTCGGCGGAAAGTAGACGGCAACAATAATAATGGAGGACGAGCCAATTTTGGTTTCAACAAACAAATGTTCAATATTATGGTCAGATGTGACAACGGGACGACTATAGAAACAATCACGAACAGCTATTAGTACACCTCCCCCCCTCAGGCAAGCGCTAGTCTCCCCATCCCTATCGTGTCGAAATATTCTGTAATTATTTAGGCCAAGTTCTGCATCGGAGATATTGGCATTTAGCCACGTTTCAGAGAGAATAATAAAGTCATATTTCAATGAAGACGAAGCAATTGAACAGCGTAAATCAGATAATTTCGTTCTCAAGCCTCTCATATTCTGGTAGTACACTAAAGGGTGATAGACACGTTTTTTGGTTGAGAATTAGCACGAGTTCTGACAATCTTTGGTATACCATTAAAAAATTTTATGGTCATATCCGTAGTGCCAGAGTCTCGGAGCGAATCGAGCTGCTTCCTTAGTTCACGAAGGTGATCCCTCTGCCTCAATGTCATATCTTGCTTGATTATAACCGGTCCAACATATGAATTCTTCATCTTCAATATGCCAAGAACATCTGCCTTTGACGGGAAAGATACCAGAAGTGGCCTGTTGCGTCCTTGCTGGAAACCGCCAAGCCTTCGAGTCTTAATGCGTGGAGCATCTAACGGCTGAATTTTCCCTATAATTTCCCTCGCCATCTCCGAGTCGCTTGAGGCACAGGCCGTTGGAGAGGATAAATTTGACTCTTCCAGGTTATAAAAGATCAAATTGGAGGATCTTCTCTCTCTTTCAGCAATCTCACTGATCACCTCCTCCGAATTGGCAGCGGGCGCAGAAGAGGTGATTTGCCGCTCGACCACAGTGATCCTGTCACTTAGAGTTTGCATCTCTGCTGCAACTTTTTCCACGTAATCGTGGTGGATCTTTAGTATTTCTTCTCGGAGAGCCGCAAACTCCGCACGAAACTCTGTACGAATTGTTTCCCGAATCGATGATACTAAGCCATCCTGGTCGGAAGACACAGCCATTCCACAGCCAAGAAATTTGCCATCCAGGTGTGGGTGGCCAGCACGAGCGATGCAGCCCGGGTGGGAGGCAATGCCACAGGTACCACAGATAATGGGCCTCGCTACAGTTGTACCACACCCCTTGCACAATTTCTTATCCATAGTTAAGAGTAAGAAATTAAAAAATTTAAAGTAGGAAGTCGAGATCACAAAAGATCGTTTCGCATGAGGCGAAAAATATGATCTAATCTCACTAGATCAAGAGGCTGTACGTAAACGAGAGGAATTAGAAAAGTACGGAACCCCCTTCCCCCCCTTGGAAATCCGACGATACGTAGGTACACGTCTTCGGACGTCTTTCGCCTTCAGGCGGCATCTTGGAGATCCAACGATAAACAGGTACGCGTCTGCGGACGTTACTCGTCTTCGGGCGGCATACGCGTCTTCGGACGCTACTAGCCTTCGGGCGGCATTCTCAACTTCGGACGGCAAACGCATTCAGACGCTCCTCGCTTCTGGCATCATACGCGTCAGCGGACGCCTCTCATTTTTGGGCAGTATATTTAACCAGTTACTAGCGGTTATCATTTCTTTTTCAGAACAGCAATAAAAACTTACTTGTATTGAGCTTATTACAACGTCTTACTTGTTACTTTTCGGACCTCCTGGCGCCGCAACCAGAATTCATTGCGTTTGAAATTAGTCATAATTATAATCAAACAAGCTGAGTATGTGGCAATGAGTCAAGTGTGTCAGGAAACAGTCTCAATAAATAAATCAATTCAAAGGATCTTGAACGACAGTTTTCTTCCAGCAACTTTATATTGTGACAACCGACCCTTATGAAAAAATACACTCAATCACACGTTGACGGTCCGAAATAACCATCAAATTGAGTGTAAACCTTCATGAAACACTCGATTATGAAGGTTTACACTCAATTTGATGGTTATTTCGGACCGTCAACGTATGATTGAGTGTATTTTTTCATAAGGGGAGCAGCGATCTTTTGTGCCAAAACAAGTGGTGGAAGCAAATTAAGACACATGACTGAGGTACACGAAGACTACGTTAAAGAATGTGTAAAACACAAAAGAATAGTAGTCCAGTGGGTACCGTCTAAAGAACAGTGGGCTGACATAATGACAAAACCACTTAGCTTTGAAACTTATACGAAATTACGTAACAAAATATTGAATTACGACTGTTCTGTTTTCTAGATTTGTAAGTTAATTGTCTGATTGATCATTCTAACGACTGCTTTAACCTTAAACTGTGTAGACTGTAAACAAATACTCAATAATCTTTTGTAAGTTACAGATGCAAAGAATAAGTAAGTTCGGATTTGCCAACACGGAGAAACGAGAGAGGTACAACCTCGGGAGGGAATGTTGGATTTTAATATCAGCGCCAGTGGCGCTTCTTCCTCGTGGTAACTCATTGTAGCTCGGTTGACCTCTTCATCTGTTTTCCCCAACTGTTTTATATATATGTACAATATACCTCCGGCAGTTGTTGGTATCGGATCGTCGTATCGAATAAAGTACTGTCTTACAAGGATATACGTTTTCGTTGTCTGCTTTCACGATACCCAAAACCGTCAAAATTAATTTTTTGTAGAATTTTGTAGAATTATTTCCGGCAGGGTCGATCGACAAGTCATTTCTCACTGGGTTATGTCACAGATTAATAGACAGATCGCCAAAGACCCGGCTTGAGGCGCGACCCCCATTTCCGTACTTTGCCCCTTACCGACCCGTTTGCCCCTAGGTGCGAGTCCGGACTAAATATATCCGATTTTATCGACAGCTTTGCCCCTAGGTGCGAGTCCGGACTAAATATATCCGATTTTATCGACAGCTTTGCCCCTAGGTGCGAGTCTGGGCTAAATACAGGGTGCTACGCAAGACTTTGACTTCCGGTCATGGGAAGGTAGAGGGGACTAAGACAAACAGAAAAGTTTATTGTACTATTTTGCGCTTGGACGAATAGTTATCGAGATACGAAATTTTAAAAATCGCCGTATTAGCCCAACCTACTGGCGAATGTAAGCGCGCGGCGAGATGCGTCGGCATAGCGGCCCCGCGCGGGGAGACGTGCGAGCGGTCGCGTAAGCGGCGGACGGGCAGCGGCGCGCCTCGCCTCCCTACTCCTCGCCCCGCACCGCCATTCTGTTCCTCGCCG